TGCAAACTTTGTTAGATTGGAAATTTGTAAAATGTGAAAATATTTTTTTTGAAACATAATTGAATTTTGTAGCAGAGCTCCAGAATGAGATTTTTAAAGAATATTTTTTCCAAGAATTTTTTTTACCAAAGGCGTGGATTTTTTAAAGAATATTTTTTCCAAGGTCTACCAAAGGCGTGGATTTTTTAAAGAATATTTTTTTAAGGTCCGAACAAGGTGTGGATTTTTTAAAGAATATTTTTCCAAGGTCCACCAAAGGCGTGGATTTTTTAAAGAATATTTATTCCAAGGTCCACCAAAGGCGTGGATTTTATAAAGAATATTTTTTCATGGTCTACCAAAGGCGTGGATTTTATAAAGAATATTTTTTCATGGTCTACCAAAGGCGTGGATTTTTTAAAGCATATTTTTTCCAAGTTCTACCAAAGGCGTGGATTTTTTAAAGAAGATTTTTTCCAAGGTCTACCAAAGGCTTAAATTTTTTTAAAGAATATTTTTCCAAGGTCTACCAAAGGCGTGGATTTTTTAAAGAATATTTTTTCCAAGGTCTACCAAAGGCGTGGATTTTTTAAAGAAGATTTTTTCCAAGGTCTACCAAAGGCGTGGATTTTTTAAAGAAGATTTTTTCCAAGGTCTACCAAAGGCGTGGATTTTTTAAAGAAGATTTTTTCCAAGGTCTACCAAAGGCGTGGATTTTTTAAAGAATATTTTTTCCAAGGTCTACCAAAGGCGTGGATTTTTTAAAGAATATTTTTTCATGGTCTACAAAAGGCGTGGATTTTTTAAAGAAAATTTTTTCCAAGGTCTACCAAAGGCGTGGATTTTTTAAAGAAGATTTTTTCAAGTAGCAAACAAGGCGTGGATTTTTTAAAGAAGATTTTTTCAAGTAGCAAACAAGGCGTGGATTTTTTAAAGAAGATTTTTTCAAGTAGCAAACAAGGCGTGGATTTTTTAAAGAAAATTTTTTCCAAGGTCTACCAAAGGCGTGGATTTTTTAAAGAAGATTTTTTCAAGTAGCAAACAAGGCGTGGATTTTTTAAAGAAGATTTTTTCAAGTAGCAAACAAGGCGTGGATTTTTTAAAGAAGATTTTTTCAAGTAGCAAACAAGGCGTGGATTTTTTAAAGAATATTTTTTCCAAGGTCCGAACAAGGCGTGGATTTTATAAAGAATATTTTTTCCAAGGTCTACCAAAGGCGTGGATTTTTTAAAGAAGATTTTTTCCAAGGTCTACCAAAGGCGTGGATTTTTTAAAGAAGATTTTTTCCAAGGTCTACCAAAGGCGTGGATTTTTTAAAGAAGATTTTTTCCAAGGTCTACCAAAGGCGTGGATTTTTTAAAGAATATTTTTCCAAGGTCTACCAAAGGCGTGGATTTTTTAAAGAATATTTTTTCATGGTCTACAAAAGGCGTGGATTTTTTAAAGAAAATTTTTTCCAAGGTCTACCAAAGGCGTGGATTTTTTAAAGAAGATTTTTTCAAGTAGCAAACAAGGCGTGGATTTTTTAAAGAAGATTTTTTCAAGTAGCAAACAAGGCGTGGATTTTTTAAAGAAGATTTTTTCAAGTAGCAAACAAGGCGTGGATTTTTTAAAGAAAATTTTTTCCAAGGTCTACCAAAGGCGTGGATTTTTTAAAGAAGATTTTTTCAAGTAGCAAACAAGGCGTGGATTTTTTAAAGAAGATTTTTTCAAGTAGCAAACAAGGCGTGGATTTTTTAAAGAAGATTTTTTCAAGTAGCAAACAAGGCGTGGATTTTTTAAAGAAGATTTTTTCAAGTAGCAAACAAGGCGTGGATTTTTTAAAGAAGATTTTTTCAAGTAGCAAACAAGGCGTGGATTTTTTAAAGAAGATTTTTTCAAGTAGCAAACAAGGCGTGGATTTTTTAAAGAAGATTTTTTCAAGTAGCAAACAAGGCGTGGATTTTTTAAAGAAGATTTTTTCAAGTAGCAAACAAGGCGTGGATTTTTTAAAGAAGATTTTTTCAAGTAGCAAACAAGGCGTGGATTTTTTAAAGAAGATTTTTTCAAGTAGCAAACAAGGCGTGGATTTTTTAAAGAAGATTTTTTCAAGTAGCAAACAAGGCGTGGATTTTTTAAAGAAGATTTTTTCAAGTAGCAAACAAGGCGTGGATTTTTTAAAGAAGATTTTTTCAAGTAGCAAACAAGGCGTGGATTTTTTAAAGAAGATTTTTTCAAGTAGCAAACAAGGCGTGGATTTTTTAAAGAAGATTTTTTCAAGTAGCAAACAAGGCGTGGATTTTTTAAAGAAGATTTTTTCAAGTAGCAAACAAGGCGTGGATTTTTTAAAGAAGATTTTTTCAAGTAGCAAACAAGCCGTGGATTTTTTAAAGAAGATTTTTTCAAGTAGCAAACAAGGCGTGGATTTTTTAAAGAAGATTTTTTCAAGTAGCAAACAAGGCGTGGATTTTTTAAAGAAGATTTTTTCAAGTAGCAAACAAGGCGTGGATTTTTTAAAGAAGATTTTTTCAAGTAGCAAACAAGGCGTGGATTTTTTAAAGAAGATTTTTTCAAGTAGCAAACAAGGCGTGGATTTTTTAAAGAAGATTTTTTCAAGTAGCAAACAAGGCGTGGATTTTTTAAAGAAGATTTTTTCAAGTAGCAAACAAGGCGTGGATTTTTTAAAGAAGATTTTTTCAAGTAGCAAACAAGGCGTGGATTTTTTAAAGAAGATTTTTTCAAGTAGCAAACAAGGCGTGGATTTTTTAAAGAAGATTTTTTCAAGTAGCAAACAAGGCGTGGATTTTTTAAAGAAGATTTTTTTCAAGTAGCAAACAAGGCGTGGATTTTTTAAAGAAGATTTTTTCAAGTAGCAAACAAGGCGTGGATTTTTTAAAGCATATTTTTTCCAAGTTCTACCAAAGGCGTGGATTTTTTAAAGAATATTTTTTCCAAGGTCTACCAAAGGCGTGGATTTTTTAAAGAATATTTTTTCAAGGGTCTACCAATGGCGTGGATTTTTTAAAGAATATTTTTTCAAGGGTCTACCAAAGGCGTGGATTTTTTAAAGAATATTTTTTCAAGGGTCTACCAAAGGCGTGGATTTTTTAAAGAATATTTGTTCGTGGTCTACCAAAGGCGTGGATTTTTTAAAGAATATTTTTTCATGGTCTACCAAAGGCGTGGATTTTATAAAGAATATTTTTTCATGGTCTACCAAAGGCGTGGATTTTATAAAGAATATTTTTTCCAAGGTCTACTAAAGGCGTAGATTTTTTAAAGAATATTTTTTCCAAGGTCTACCAAAGCCGTGATTTTTTTTTTAAAGAATATTTTTTCCAAGGTCTACAAAAGGCGTGGATTTTTTAAAGAATATTTTTTCCAAGGTCTACCAAAGGCGTGGATTTTTTAAAGAATATTTTTTCCAAGGTCTACCAAAGGAGTGGAGTTTTTAAAGAAGATTTGTTCATGGTCTACCAAAGGCGTAGATTTTTTAAAGAATATTTTGTCCAAGGAATACCAAAGGCGTGGATTTTTAAAGAAGATTTTTTCAAGTAGCAAACAAGGCGTGGATTTTTTAAAGAAGATTTTTTCAAGCAGGAAACAAGGCGTGGATTTTTTAAAGAAGATTTTTTCAATATTTTCAGATTTCCTAAGATCATTCCGCTCAGGCTATCACAGTTCCTATTAAATAACTTTTCTTTTAAATCCTTCTTACATATTTAGAAAAAATTTAACCCATATATGTTCTTCTTCTGGTTTTTTACAGATTTTAATGGAAACTTTAGCCAACAACTCCACCCGTTCCAAATAACAACCAACCAATCCTATTCAACTTTTTACGACATCGACGAGATGTGGAGTTTTCTTCTTCGATCCGATAAAAAATTACAACAAGCTACGAAACGAAAGCAAATATTTACTGACCAACAACTACAGCAGCTGCATTACAATCCGCAACAACAACAACAAGTACAACGTTTGCATTTTAAAAACCAATCCAACAAACATCAAGAAATCTGGATCGAGTGAAATTCTTAAGAGAATATTAAAAAAAAAACAAAATAAACAAAACAAAAGAACCGGACCAAGACTGCTTAAGAAGAAAACCAACAACAACAAAAGAAAAAAAACAACAACACCATTTTAACACGAATCGAACGAATCTGAAACTGAATTGCATTTCGAGAAATCTAAGATTTACACCCACACACAAAGTTACATCCACCCTTACCCCACCCAGACAAGAAACCAGCCAACACCAGTAAAGCAGCATCATCTTCTCAAGAAGTTGTCGGAAGAAGCAACCCAGAAAATTAAACGCCTACCAACCACTACTGGCGGCTGCTGCTGTTGCAAACAGACACTTGAGAACTACACACCACGACTTAGTTGAAGAAGAAGAAGAAGAGAAAAAAGGGGACAAGTTGAGGAACAACAAATTGCTTCGAGTTTTAAACCCTGCAACAATCCACACCTCTCTAATTGCCGTTGGATTCATGTTGTAGACCAACATTTGTAGAGCACAGCCCCTCTTTACACCTCCAAACATTTTAATTTTCTTCGATTTCGATTGTTTGTTTTTCCGGCTATGAAATCAAACAACAACATCAGAACCAACAGCAACAACAACCACGTGTCATCTACATAGAGAGATAATTTTCGAGAGAGAGAGAGAGAGAGAGATTGTTGTGGTCTCCCCATTAAAGCTTTTATTTTCTGTTGCACCCTACCCCTTAAAATCCATTTAAATGTAGCAACAACAAGAAAAAAAAAGACATTCCGAATTTTGAGACTTTTAATTTTTTCAAAATTTCCAAAAAATTGTTTCGAAACTAAAAAAAAAATATATCCTTTCACCGGCCCTAATCCCAAAGAAAAATTGTGTTCACGAAACTTAGACTATAAGTTCCAAAGCACGACTTCCTCGAAGAAGCTGAATAACAACAACCTTTCCCTGCACATAGACCTCCCACATCACAACCAGCGGAACCAGCACCTCCAATATCTTCTTCACTGTCAACGTCTTCGATTTTATTTTTGTCGTCGTTGTTATTGTTGTTGTCCTTTATTTGTTCCTTCGATTTGCCAACAACAAATCATACAAATTGTTGTACAAAATGTCTCTGGTCGAGAGGTCGAAAGTGGGTGGTGGCGGCGGCGGTGCTGCTGATTTGGGTCGCAGTAGTGGTGGTGGCGGCGGCGGCCGCAACACAGATGAATGCTACATGGTCGGCTCCAATATGAAACATTCATTGAGCACACCATCTGGTGTTGATGGTACCCCATCGACACCCCGTCATCGGGGTGGTAAAAAATTGACAGTGCGAATACAAATGTTGGACGATACGGTGACAATATTTCAAGTGCAGGTGAGTACAACAAAAATAAAAAATATATTATTTTCTTATAGAATTAAATATGGGATAAGAAGAAGAAGACTACCAAGAAGGTCCATATTTTTTATTTAAAAAAAATCTCAGGACACTGGGAATTATATTTTCTATAAATATGCTCATGACCCAGAAAAATAACATTCCGTCTAACAGAGAACTTCATAAGGCCTTTGAAGACAAATTGTTTTTTTTTTTTTTTTTAATAAAATCCGCATTACCTTTTCGAGGTTTTTTTTCTATATATTTTTATAAAAATTTTAGAATTTTTTCCATTAAAAAAAGACCTTAGTGTTTCCTGTAGATTTTGTTCTGTAAAAATTTTACTTATACGCAGCGAACTGCAAATTTTATCCGTCGACCTGCAAGCTTTCTTCTATTGAAGAAGGCGTCTGAGGGTATAACATTTTTTTAAAGAGTATTTTTATAAAAAAAAGTGTCCTCTGGATACCTTAGTGGTCTGTAGAATCTTGTATATACAAGAAAGTTGTCCTTAGAGAATTATAGGGTTTTTTTTATTGAATTTAGGTCCCCACTAAAATCCTTCGTTCCTTTATCAACTCTCTTCGAGATGTCGTTTTTAGTCCTCAGATGATTCTGACAATTATTTTTTCTAAATTTTCCGATTGAAAATTGTAGTCCTCAGGAGTAGGAAAAATGCACTGGTCCTCAGTATTTTTTCCAATGTAAAAAGGGCACATCAGCAGATCTATGGAATCCTGTTTATACAAAAAATTAGTCCTTAGGATTTTTTCTGCAGAAAAATTTTTTTAAAATGTCAGTTCAGTGGACCTGAGGATATTTTTTCCATGGAAAAAATTTAATTTTTATAAAAAAAATCATAGGTCTTCCGATTTCTATGGAGGACATATGAATTTAGACAAAAAGGTTACCTCAAAAATCTGTGGTGCGTCTCTGGGATATACTTTTTATTAAAAATTTCATATGACTTCCGATTTTTATATAACAAATTACTCATGTTCAATGGACCTGAGGATATTTTTTCCATGAAAAAAATTCAACAGAGCTCTCTGAGATATCCTTTTTATAAAAAAAAAATCATAGGTCTTCCGATTTCTATGTAGGACTTATGAATTTAGACAAAAATTATACCTCAGAGATCTGTGGTGTATCGCTGAGATATCCTTTTTATTAAAAATTTCATATGTCTTCCGATTTTTATATAAAAAAATTACTCATGTTCTTGAAATGTCAGATCTTCTTGAGGACTTTTCTCTGTAGAAATAAAACGTCAGTATCCCAAAAATTCGTTTTTCTATACAAAAAGTATTTACAGTATTTTTCTTAAACTCGCCAAGTCACATCTTGAGGCCATTGAGCATGGAAAAAATTCCTGAATTCCCAAAGGACATAGTTTTTGTATAGGAAAAACTTTACAAGGCTCCTGAGGACCTCTGTTTTCTATGGAACAAATTCCATAAGTCTTTTCCCGCCCTTGATGCAAATTTTTTTGGAATAAAGCTTCCTTAGAGCTCTCTCAGGTTTCGGAAATATTCCTTAAGCCTTCATGAGTTCACTTTTAGTCTGAGGAATATCTTCAATAGAAAAAAGTACTCTATTATCTTCAAGGGCTCTTTTTTCCTACAGAAAAAAAACCTTGGGATGCCATTTCGGACCCCACTTTTTTCCTTTCCTTTATCCTTTTTTTTGTACCAAAAAATCTTTAGGGGATTTGCCAAATTTTTTCATTAGAAAAAATTAGTTCTGATGGGAGCCTGATGATTTTTTCTATAAATGTGGTCTTCAGGTGGCCTTAATTGTCCTCATGATACCTGAGGAATTTTTCCTATAGAAAAAAATATTTCTCAGGAGACCTAAAGTATTTTTCCTATAGAAAAATAGTCCTCAGATGTCCTCAAAAATTGTTTTCTATAGAAGAAAATAGTCCTTAGATGACCTGGGAAATGTTGTTTATTGATATTCGATATCTCAAGGGTCCTGAGGATTTTTTTACAAAAAATCCACGTCGGAGAACCCAGGATTTTCTTCTGTTAGAGGTGGGCTTGAGAAAAGGGTTTCTTTCTATATAAAAAATACAACTCAAGGGATGTCCTCAAAAATTATTTGCTATAGAAGAAAATAGTCCTTAGATGACCTGAGAAGTATTGTTTATTGATATTCGATATCTCAAGGGTCCTGAGGATTTTTTGTTATAAAAAATCCACGTCGGAGAACCTAGGATTTTCTTCTGTTACAGGTGGGCTTGAGAAAGGGTTTTTCTATAGAAAAAATACAACTCAGGGGACCTGAGTTGTATTTTTCCTAGAAAGTGAGATTGCCGACGAGCTTGCTCGAGGGGGCTCACAGTCGTCCAATCGTCTCATTGAAAGATCTGTGAAACCTCCCATCGGCTATTTCATTGGCAGAATCCATGCGTTCCACTGCGAGGCAGTCGGTAACAGATGGCTAAGGGATCCTGTTTGCAGAATTTCAAAATCTATCTGGCCTGAATTTTCTCGTAAAAGAACTTCTTCGCTGCTGACACACAATAAGAGGGAGATCAAAATCGTTGTGGGGATCATAATAGGTCACTGCAAAATTAGATATCTCACTTCGAAGTGGGACTCCAGTGGAGATGATTACTGAACTGGAAACTGGAAACAATTGAACACATCCTCTGTAAGTGTCCATCGCTGATTAGCAGAAGACATAAACAGTTTGGAAGATATGAAATTGATAATCTCGACATCTTCTCCATAATAGACCCATATCAGATCCTAGGCTTTGTCAAAAATTTTACATGGCTAAAATAACCTCTCTTCCGCTCTTCTTCCCTCACTATCTTTGGGTTGGGTTCTTACTCAGAGGACTGTTTTTTCTCCAATCTGCTATCTAAAGATAAATACCTCAGATCTTACATAGTGCTATTTTTTATATGATCAGGACTTCATGACTCCTCCTCAGGTCAATGAGGATTATTTATACCCTACAGAACTATGTTGTCAGGGTATTATAGCTTTGTGCAGCCCCAAGAGTTTGTAACGCCGCGAAATATTGGTCCTAGACCCACCTTTAAGTATACCGATCGTCATATCTCGACTAGCTGTGTCGATCTAGACATGTGTGTCCGTCGGTCTGTCCATTATAATTTGTAAACACGATACAGGCCACAGTTATGTCCCAATCCTCACGCAATTTTGCATATAAGATGGGTTCTGGCCAATGAAGACCCCTATTGTTTTTGGTAAAGATCGGTTAATATTTAGGGAATGAAATGGAGCAAATACTTAATTTTTGTCGGTTTTTATGATCCCTCCAGAGGCCGCAATAATGGCCCGAACATCGTATATATTTACCCCTGAAGGACATAGACCCGATATATTATATCCAAGAGGAATGGTTGACCTTTAAATTAATACAAACTACATTGTTGTAAGTCCTCAGATGTGGGAGTTACACCTACATATTTATAGGTATCTCCGTATTCGTATATTATTTAGTAACCCATAATCACTCTAGAGAGTGGAACTATAGCGCAGATCGCTTTGAAATTTTCCATGAAGTTCCAATTATGGTCAAGGACAACGCTTATAATTTTCGGTGATGATCAGAATAACATTTTGGGATGAAGTGGACTAAAAACTTAATTTCTTTTGTGTGTTTTCTAGTCGAATATAAGCCGAACATTACAACTTAACCCACGGCGAAAGGGAATCTGGGCAAGTAATTAGAAGGGCTGTACTGAATATTAGTAATATTCCGAAAATATTTCAGTGTAAGGTAGAGGTGCTGTTGACCTCTAATCAGGCAAGTCGGGGCAAATATCACGAAATATTGCCCAGGCTCGGAATAAACTTCCACAAAAAGTTAGAGTTCCGTGGTAGTTGTGTAGGGTAACGTATGGTCGGCCCCGCCCGAATATACTGCTCCGCTCACTGATTTTATTTTAAAAATCTCGCCAAGTCACATCTTGAGGCCATGGAGCGTGGGAAATATTCTTCAAGGCCCTATGAACATAGTTCTTATATAGGAAAAAAACTTCGCATGGCTCCTGAGGATCTCTGAGATCTTCTGTTTTCTATAGAACATGTTCCATAAATCTCCTCCCCCCTTGCGGCAATTTTTTTAAATAACCCTTCCTCAGGGTTTCTCTCAGGTTTCGGTTTATATATCGAAGATATTCGTTATGCCTTCTTGAGTACACTTTTCCTCTGAGGAATTTCTTTTATAGAAAAAAATTACTTAATCATTTTAAAGGACTCTTTTTTCCTACAGAAACAAATTTTGGGATACCATTTCGGACCCCATTAATTCACCTCTTTCCTTTATCAGCTCAATGTGTCTTTTTTACAATTTTTAGGGGATGTGGAAAACTTTTTGGTTAAATAGTTTTAGCTATCATGCGAGCCTGGTCAATTTTTTCTAGAAGTAGTCCTCAGGTGACCTTAATAGACCTCATGATACCTGAGGAATTTTTCCTATGGAAAAAAATAATTCTCAGGAGACCTATAGAAAATAAGTAGTCCTCAGATGTCCCTCAAAAATTGTTTTCCAGAGAAGAAAATGGTTCTTAGATCTGAGAACTGAGAGATATATTTTTTTATTGATATTCGGCACCTCAAGGGTTCTGAGGATTTTTTTTAATAACAAATGCACCTCTGAGAATCCAGGATTTTCTTCCGTTAAAGGTTTACCTGTAGAAGAAAATACACCTCGGGACACCTGAGGGTTTTTTAATAGAAAGTGGGTCTTAAAAAATTATTTTCTATAGAAAAAATCGCTAACATAGCCTCAAGTTATCTCTCTATAGAACAAAGTCCTCAGAGTCCCTGATGATTTTTTAAATGGTCAGTTGAGTTGAATTATTTGATTCCTTATGTTGTCTTTCTATAAAAAAAATAGTCCTTATCCCCCTGAGGTCTATTTTTAAAAGGAAAAAATCCATTGGTTCTAAAAAAAAATCCACAGACCTTCCACATGTGCCGTTTTCTATAGAAGAAACATTTCAACAGAATTTT